GATAATTTACTGGAAACTTATCATAAATTATTGCAATTTTACAATACTAGCAATAATTTTACTAATAAATTTTTTAGTGAACCTAGCTGATTCGAATTATACTGCATTCCAATCTAAAATTTTGGAAATCTCTTTGTATAAGCTATTATTATAAATATCGATTAGGATTTTGTATAATACAAAATAATTAATATACTAATATACCTTATTTTCTGAAATTAGTAATTTTCTTTGTGCATTTTCAAGTCTTTCTGACTGTTTTGGATAAACAAAAAATGCAATAAGTCTTTTGGTATGAGCTACAAGAGCTTGGGCAGGAATTAAACCTTTTCCGACAAATAATTGCAGTATGTAAGCTGTGATTTAATCCGACTAATTTCTTGTATTTCCAAAAATTCAAGAGCTTTAACTATGTTAATAGCATTATCTGTAGTAATTGCCTTTACTTTATGCAATATATTCCAATAATCCATAGTCTCAAATAAGGTATTATAAATATTTTCTGCTATATGAGGATAAGGGCAAAATATAATAGCAAGTAAAATCTCGTTTAGCTTAAAATCCTGATCAATCCAATGACAAATAATACCAAGATATGATTTATGATTTCTACTAGTTCAAAGATCACATGTAAGTGAACATGAAGTTGCAGTATCTTTTAATTTTTGTTTTAAAACATTAGAAGAAAAATTATAAGCATTATGTATCATTGATTTAACAGCTTTACAGGTGGGTAATTCATAATAAGGATCTAAAGTAGCAATAAATGCTTTAAATTTTTGTGATTCTAAAATATATAATGGTTGCGCACTATCAATAATCCATTCGACTAAAGAATAGGTTTGATTTTGTTTGTGCTTTAAATTACTAGTTGTAGTTTTAAATATAGTATCTATTTTTAACTGGTCTTTTGATTTTAAACTATTTTCTTTAGTAATTCCATGTAGCTAGAAAGATGGTCCTATATATTTCCTGTTAATTCACCTGTATTGCAGATTATATTGCATGTCTGCTTTTGACGATTTCTAACAATCTCCAGAAGACACCACCCAACATGATTTCCTGTTTCTATATGCTCTAAAGGGCGAAAATAATTCCAAACTTTACTAGCTAGCTTACTGGCACTTGCTTTTGATAAAGGTCTATAGCCATCTGGAATAGAGTTGGAATCTTGTAATAAATTATCATTTATATCTGATATATACTCTTCATTTTCAAATGTAGTTTCAGTATTTTCATTGAAAGAATCAATAGGTTCAGAAGATTGGAAAGCATAATTATCATTTAGTTTTCATGATCTTTTCAAATTTTTTGAAGCTTCTTTGATTTTTTTGTTTTTTATTAGGAATCATACTGTTTTGTCTAATAGTATCAATATGGGCTTAGTAGTAGTAAATGAGAATTTATATTTAATTAGATGATTTAAATATTAATAATATGATAATTACAATATTATAAAATATTATAGATAGTAATTAAGCTCAACGCTAAAAGAAATTCAAAAAACAAATATAAAAATTTAACTTAAGATTTAAACTTGTGAGTTATAAGAAAAATAAAGGTACAAATAATTACTTTATTATAGAGAAACCCAAAGTAAGATGTAAATTTTTATCAGATTTTTATACTTTTTTATATTTTTATAAAAATTTCTACTATTTTCTATTTAATCTATCTTGTATTTAAAGCATGTGAAAGTTTATTGCTTTGGAGCTTTTTGCCTTGATGATAAAAAGTATTTTCATTAGATTCTTTGTTTTTTTCTTGATTACTAATTAAAAATTTGTTTTAATCTAACTTAATTTCATCTGTTTCTTGTGAATTAGAAGCATTCTCTAAATTTTCTTTTGATTTTCATGCTTTTTCACAGCCTTCTTACAGCTCTATATCTTTTTTAGTAGTAATAATTTTTTTTTACACGCATAACTATGAGTTTTAATTACTTTACATTTTTGGTTAGTGGTTTTAGATCTTCATAAATTAGAATCATAAAAGCTATAATATGTACAATATTTTCAGGCTACAATATTACAAAAAGTATGCTAAAAGTTTTTAACAGGTTATGTTACTAATGTTGATTACTTGTTAGAGTACCCGATATCTTATACATAATAATTAATATAGTATAAAAAGAATAATCTCTATTTCTTATATCTTATCACTATTATTAAAAAAATTTTCCGAATAGTTTAAACAAATAAAGTAGGTTGTATATACATAATAGGCATTTCATTATATAATTATCTGAATAACTATCTGGATGATCATCTAATTATTTCTGATATCCGGATATAACATCTGCAGTCTTATATTTGTATTTGGATATCTGGATCATCTGCGGATATCTGGATATTTAGTTAAACGGATCCCAACACTATTATTTAGTTAATAGAGTTCAGATATATTATTTAAAATATCTTGAATATTGTTTTTAAATTTACAGTGCCAAACTGTATCATCCATAAAGGCAAGAGGTAGTATTGTTGTTTGTGTTAATGCAGTTAAAAATATTATGTCAAAGGGAGATTATGATGAGATTTTGAAAAGTTTTGAATTGTATTTTAAATTTATATAGCTGAGAATAGGATTGTAATAAATTTTCTAAAGTAATAGTGAATAGGTTTCTTCTTATTTAATGCCAGAATATAGTGTAATTGAATTGGTAAGACCATAGGCTGTGATTGCTTTAGCCTTTCTGTCTTGGTGAAGAAATTTGATAAAATTTAGACCTGATTTAGGAATACCAATACATTTACAAGCATCTAACAGTTATTTGATGTTGATTTTATTGAAAGTCTTAGACATATATTGAAAGAATATTCAGGCTTCTTTATGGTTAGTTTTGTAATATTCAATTGTATTAAGTAGTATTTGTATAGGAATATGGATAGAGCTGTTTTTAGTTGCTGCGAAATTTAAATCACTTAGTAGATAATGTTGGTTTATAATTTGGTCAAGATGTATTGTAAAGATTTTAGTAAGGCATTTTTTAATGGGTTCGATAAGTGAGATAGGTCTAACTTGATCTAATGTAAAGTTCTATAAGAATTTCTTTGGAATTAAAAATATGTTGAATGTTTTCCATATTATTGGTATTTGTTGTAGTGAAAGGCATTTTGTTAGAAAATGTTGAAAAATGTTTTGGATCTTAGGGTTTAAGTATTTTAGATGTTCGTAATTGGTTTCAGATAAACCAACAGCTTTTTGGTTAAGAAGATCATGTATAACTTGGTTCTATTCTTCTGAAGTGATTTCTGAAAATAGGTTAACAAAGAGAGATTCATGTTCTAGATGAAGTTTATAAAATTTGTAGAATTTTATATTTTCTTGAATTAGACTATATGGTAGTTTTTTAAAATAATCTTGAAAATAGAATTGTAAAAAATACTAATTAGTTAATAATTTGAAGTAGTAATATTATTTAAATTATACTTAAATATTAATTTAATACATTTTAAAATAATATTAAAGTATATATTAAGTATATAGTTTGGATATTGTTAATTAAAGATAAATTAATATAAATTTATATATTTTAATTATAAATTTTATTGACTAATTATAATTATGTAATTTTGGTAATAATTGTTACAGATAATAAATAACAAATCTTAATTTTTTTAAATAAAAACTAAAAATATATATTATTTAAAAATTATTTTAATCTTTTTAATTTTTACAAAAAATTTTAAGTTATTATAAAATAAAATATTTTATTTTTTTAAAAAAAATTTAATTTTTAAAATTTTTTTTATTTTTTGTTATTTTAGTTAGTATAAATTTAAAATTTAACTACAATTTCATTAATAAAAAGTTATAAAACACAAAAAATAAACAACTTTTGTTATTATATTTTTTAATATAATTTTTTAAATAAAATTTTGACTTTAATTAGAAGCAAAAAAAATTTTCTCTTTAAAAACATATAAAATTTTAAGAAAATTTAAAAAATTAAGTTTTAAAAAAATCAAATATTTTTGTCAAAATTAAAAATAAAATAATAAAATTTTAAAATAACATTTAAAAGAAAGAGTATTTTAATTTTTATTAGTAAATAAGAGGGAATAAACTTAAATAAATTTTGAGAAAATTCCTACATGCCAACTTCCTTAATATTGCATACTCTGTAACTATTCAACATCCTTTATATATCCCATCTCTTCCTTCATTAACAATCAATTCACAACAACTATCTTGTATCTTCCAATTATACCAACTTACTAACAGTTTACAGTCTATTGCTAATTCTAACTATAACCTAACTACTATTTCATTTTATACTGATGGTTCTGTTATTGAGCTTGGTACTTCTCAGTACTCTATAGGCATAGGATGAGTCTAAGTTGATAACTCTACAACTATTCATTTTTTTCATACACAAGTTAAACTTTGGTCATGCTTCTTTAAAGCTGAAATTTTTGCTATTTTCTCAGCAATTATTATTGTTTCTAAAAATTGTTCTGTTTATATCTTTACAAACTCACAATCTGTTATCTTCAAATATCACAGTATCTACTTATCAGCCTCTAAAATTTCTCATATTCATACTCCATACTTCTCTATTTGGCAAACCCTTATCAACTTTATTAACTCATACAATATTCAGCTTACTTTTTACAAAGTTACTGCACACCAAGATGATCTATTTAATAATCTTGTTGACCAACTTATTCATAGTCACCAAATTCTATCTTTTCTAATATTCTTAACTAACAACCCTTATAACTCTGCCTATACCCAATTTTATGACCAATTTTCTATTGAAATTCTTATTTGTCACTCTATTTGCACTATCTGTCAAGCTCATATTATAACACTCTGGACATCCCAACATTATTTTCAACAATGGTCTACTATTGCATCTAATATTAACTAGGAAGCCACTTGGTTTTACATTAATAACAATCAAAAAATCTCTAACTTTGTTTACAGTTTTCATTCTTCTATTTTAAAAACTTTTTGTGTTAAAATTTTCTTGGATGAACTACCTGTTTCTTATACTCTTCATAAATGTAATTCTTCTTATTCTCTTTTCTGCCACCAATGCAATCAAACTAGTTTTTCACTACACTGAATTCTTTGTCCTTCTACTCATACAATTTATCATCTAATTTCTAATTCTTTTAACTGCATCTTAAATGCTACTGCTCTTAACATGTTTGCTAATTCTGTTTCTAATCTACATCAAGAAATTCTTACACTTAACAGTTTTAAACTACACAACTTTTTTCATATACTATCTCTTATTTTTACCTTATCTGGCTTAGTCCCTAGTGACCTTATTTCTATTATTCATAATACTTCTATTCCTTACTGTATAGGCATCACTCTTTCTATTAAATTCCTTCTTCATTTAAACCAACAAATATATAAACAATTATGGATTTCATATTGTATTTCATGTTCAGCACAGTCTTCAATTACA